TATAGATCAGGGATAAACGGGTTATAAGTTTTGTACAATTGGACCCAAAAGAGAAAGTTTATCACCGAGCATCACTAGATACATAGATAAACGATAGCTAGATAAACGGAGAGGGGAGCCGAACATCACCATTTCCTCGCCTGCCCCTTCCCCTTGCGGTCACAGGAGTGGAGGTAGTACTCTTGCTTCTCCTTCGCGAGCCGTGTCGCTTTCGTCGCGGCCTCTTGCTTCTCCTTCGCGAGGCGCTCAGACTCTTTGATGCTGAGCCGGAATGCCTTTGTGTTCTTGCGGTGGAGGCGCCCCGCATCTGTCTCCGCCGCGCTTAGCGACCGGCGGAGGATCTCGCGCGGGAGCTGCTTCTACGTATCGATCGACGCGGAAATCGCGTAGGTGCGGGAGGAACTGACCTTCTCTGCCCTCGGCGCGGCATGCGGTGTGCGCCTTCAATTTGGGTATCCTCGTACGCGGGCACGAGCACCCGACGCCGGCTAGGAGGAGCTGGGGCCGGAGGGGTAGGGGAGGGGTGCGCCCGGAGACGGATGTGCAGCGGCGTGAAGCACGACTGGCCGACGTGGTTGACTGCATTGGGTCGCCAGACCACCGGGGACGACATGGAGCTCAAGCTCCTGTCCCGGTCCATCCGTGCCGTCGGAGGGCAATGCAGACTGTGAGCTCCTCGTCGTTCAGGGCCTCGCTGCCGGAGCCGTCCTCTTTCAATAGCCCGTACCAATTGATGGGATCGGACTCGTTGCCGGAATTGCTGCCATAGTTTGGCATGGTGGAGGGGAGGGGAGTGGAGGAGACGGGCAGTGGAAACGAAGCGGAGCGCTCGAGAAGAGTGGATTTTAACTAGGGTTTGGTTCGGGGTGGGGTATTTGTGGGAAACGGTGGGCCAGTGTGGCCCGTATCTGACGTGGCAGACGCGTCCGGGCCTCCCCATATCTGCCCCACATATGGGCTGGGTTTGGGGGTGCCGGGTGGCCCAGACGTATAGGGCCGGTTTGAGGGGTCAGGTTGGGTCGCAAAAAAGTGACCGGTCACTGACCGAGCCGTCCAGACGGGCATATAGGAGCAATATGAGGGATCCGGCTGTAAATGCTCTAACCTTGCTCTCTTCTGTGTTATTTTTTCAGCTCCATTGCATGGATTTGCATTTTGGTTCGATGTCGAGTTTAATGGACCAGTTTGCCAGAAATTCAAGAAGCAAGCAAGCCAACCCTTGGATGTCAATATGCAAAATTCCAACCCAAGCAATAAAAAGAAAAAGGCAGATGTCTCAATTGTTCTGTCAACTGCCCCAGAGGACGCCCCTACTCACTGGCAGCAGGTGATTGCTTTAATAAGTGCCATATTGGTTTCCTTTTCACTTAGGTATATGGTTATTTTGAGATTCCTAGAAATTGCATTGCTAACATCCACAAGAATGCTGTTCTTTTTGTAATGCAGACTCTCCTTTACTTATTTGAACCTATCGAGTTAAAGAAAGACCAAATCATGGAAGGTTCTGTTACCATATCTCAGAGCCAGCAACATGCCCGGTTCCTTAACATTTGCCTGAAATATTTGTGAGTCTGATTGCTCTGGTTTGGTGTTATCCAGTTTACTCATTTTCTACTATCACTTTCAAGTTTGATATAACTTTGCATCCCTCTTGTCTGTGCAGTACTGGAGACCAATGGTATGTTAAAGAATCCGTGATGCGATAGCATGGAAAACTTCCATAGAACAATATTTTACTGACAGGTGCAAATCTATCAATTCCTGTGCATCATGAACCTTATCGGCCATTGCAATTTTGGAGCATTCTGACTGAAGCGGGGCATCATGATGGCAAATTGATCAACATATGCTGCCATTTAGTTTTCATTTGGAGAGCTGGAATTTTGGACGCGGAGCAATTCATCCTGAACTCCCAACAAAAATCCATTACTCCAAATCAGGCCTTAGATTTGAATTGTTCCTAGTCGAGTTTGGGTAGATCGAATGAAGCATTGAAAAATTCAATAATTACATGCTGGCGAAGTATTATAGGTTTTCCCTTATGTTAACAGTACAGTTCTCTTGGCCCATCTGATTAGTCGCCTTTTCTTACACTAGATAGCCATGCAGATTGTTTCTGTTGTTTGTAACAACTGTATTTTCCAACATGACATTCATGCGGCCCTTGAGTGGTTGTAATAACAGACTAAGATTTTCCATGCGGCTGTGAAATCATCATCTGGCAGTGTCAACATATTATCACAGCTGTGTATGTTTGGTTCGATGTTGCAAAAAGAAGAGTGGTAGTATCAAGATTCTTTTTAGGAGTATCATTCATCGGCATTGTGTGTGACCAGGAGATTTTGTAGGAGTTGCTGTTCCAGTCATGAAAGCGCAGTCGATCAAAGGGCAATTCTGTAATATTCTGCTGAACCATGCTGGGCCATGGCTTCTTGCAGTTCCATCATTATTGAGATGCACGCCAGTTTGATTTGTACCATGAAGAAGAAAGCTGGATTAAGTTAGCATAACAACACTAGTGAACACTAATAAGGCTATAAACTACTAGGACCATATATTCACTCCAACAGAAGATGTTGCACACGGGAGTAGGAGACTGTCACATACGGCGAAGTTATATTGGGGTCGTTCGCAGGGAGGCGACGGCGTGTGGTGGTGATCAGTTAATTTTCCTGTTCCTCTGGATTAACGGGAGGAATCGATCGGGCGATCGTGGGAGCCGAACCCAAAGCTGAGAATATTAGCCTAGTCAGAAATTACTAAGCTATCCCCGAGCTGAACTTTTAGGCGAACCATATCAATGGTTGGATTGACTTAATACCAGGGTACTATGTACCGTAAATAATCTCTAGATTTGGCCATAAAACGATTCGAAGCATTATAACCGATATCCAAAAAAGTCGCCACATATGGGATGACGATATGTGCCGGCCGACTGGGTCGTGAGCCGTTTGATCCATTGCGACATAGCAGTCTGATCCAGCTGATGAAGTTTGCAACATGGGTTATATTGCGCTTGAAGGTTTGCAACATGAATCATGTTGTGCTGAGATTTGCACAATGAATACTTCACAACATGAGCCATACTACGCTCCCAAGCTTTCTAACATGGCTGACGTTGCGGTCGTCGTTGATGTACCTTAGTGCTGTGCATGTTCGATTTTCCTTGAAGCACATCCGATATTGTCCTTGTAGCTGTTGTCGTCACAACCTCGTCGGTGTTTCCAACACATCAACCCCGCGTTGTCAAGATGTCGTAGGACGTGTCCATGCCCCACAACGTCGGGGACCATCCCTTTGCAGCAATGACCACCAGCCGCGTGAGAGATGTCTCCATCTCATCTGCTTTGAAAGGCGCATGGAGGCCACTGTTTGTTGGGCAGCGTCCTTGTGGAAGGGGAATCCATGGTGTCACAGAAAGAAGCCTCACCGATGAGAGGTAGCCTAAAGGAAGGAGAGAGAGAGAGAGAGAGAGAGAGAGAGAGAGAGAGAGAGAACACGAGGAGATGGGTTTGCTTTGGCTCGAGAAAAACTTATGGCCGTTGTGAAGATAATGATAAGAGAGACAAGCAGTGCGTGTGGTCCACGGGGGCATGTGGCGGCGGACCGAGTCATGAAAATCGGTCAGGTAGGTTCAAGCTTTTCTCCTATTTATAACCTATGACATGTTGTTTTAAGACAATACAATCAAAGTCGCTCACATACACGAGCATACAATCATCCCTATGGACACACACGCACAACCTACCTTTATGAGCATCTTTGATAGACTGAGCCGGCATAAAGATTGATGACGTCGTCACAGACGTCTTCGTTGTCGACGGGAACATTTTCTCCCATTGAATGACATCACCAAAAAACCTAAAATAAATTCAGAAAAATGCGAGCAGCAATGTCAAGTTTAAGAATTAAACTCTGATGGGCTGGGGATACCACTATTTTTCTAACCATTCAACTATAGATTGGTTCATATAAAGTCTGACATGTTGATGATTTATACATGTGGAAAGTGGAAGCAGAATAAACATCAAATCATAAAAGAAAATCTGAGAAAAAAAAATAAACAACTTAAAATGAAACTAGCCGGCGGGTTTGGGACTTGGTTTTCTGAATGCTTCCGGTGTGCCAGGCTGGCGAGGTGGGCCCCGCGGCGTAACCGATTATTTACCTCGCGCTCCGCCGAAGTGAAAGGGTGGGGAAAATGACGAGCGGCTAAAAATCTCAAAATCGCTGTCAGTGACACAGTAATACGGCCGATTCCGCTTGGCTTCTCTCCCAAGACACGGTAACAAAGCACATTTCACCTCGCCGCCGGCCCGTCCCGTCCCTATAAATTCCCCTCTCTCCCCTCCTTCCCCGTCTTATTCTACATCCACATTCCACACCATCACGCTCGCGAAGCAGAGGGAGAGAGACCGGCGCGGCGAGCGGCGGCAATGGCGGACGCGAACCGGTGGCGGGGGGCAGCGCACGTGGTGTCGCAAGCCTTCGCGCAAGCTGTCGGTGTTCCCGAAGAAGTCCTCAGGTCGATCAACCTCGCCATCGCCAAGCTCGAGGCGCGAGCCGGGTTGCTGCGCGCGATCCGCGACGGCGCCACCCTCGAGGAGGCGACCGCAGGCTACGTCGAGCCGGGTCCCGACGGGGTCCTCCCCGCCGCGCTCCTCGAGGACGCCCGGCGCGGCATCAAGCGCCGCCGCTCGCTCCACAGCTTGGCCCGCGGCCTGCCCCTCTGCGCCCGTGCACTGGGCCGGGCACCCGACGCGGAGACGATCCAGAGATGGGAGATCTGCAACGTCGCCGTGCTCACCTACGCCCGCCGCGCGCAGATGGGGCTCCGCAACGCCGCGTCCTTCTACATGGCGGCCGGGGACGCCATCGTCTTGGCCTCGGTGCTTCCGTTCGGAGCCCCGCTCCGCGTCGCCTGGATGGGGGCGGCCGAGCGGCTCACGAGGCTTGCCGCCAGGGAGGCCACCATGGCGCGCGACAACATGTTCATGATGGGGCTAGCCGTTGGTCAGCAGGCCTGGCTCGCCATGGCCATGATGGGGCTTGCGCCAGGCGCGCTCGGCGGAGGAGTCAACAACCAAGTCCATCACCAGTAAGCCTCTGTTGCCATTCCTTCCTGCATTCCTGCGCCCCGGAGAGAGATTTTTCGCAAGCGCTTCTGTACGGTCTCGGTGTGTGGGGCTCGAAACTCTTGATGAGTTGGTGGGTCAGATAAACACGTCCCCGCTTCTTCTAGTACTATACGTATGTACATTGGTTGTTAATAGTTGTATAGATTAGGTGATTTGTGCTCTAGAATGTCTGGCGTTCACCTGATGCAATCCGGTCTGTCCGCCGTCAGATTCTCTGGCTGACCAATGCAATGCGAACGTGAACATGTGTACTTTGAAACTGTTGCTGCTCGGTTTCTTGTTGAATCTCGAATGTGGGTGATCATCTGCTGTGGTGCACGTTTTGTTGGCCAAAGAAATGTAAATGCGCTTTGATCGTCTACACGTGTTCATATCCAAAATTTCAGTTGATTCAGCATGATAATTTGACGGCCATTTTAATCATATTATACCTGATGTTTGGCTGCAGGCAGTTCCCTGTCTAAGTGTCAAGATATGCAAATTCTGGCCATTAGACCTCCATGATAATTTTAGCCAACGTTTTTATTATTCTCTTCTGTTGGGATAGATCCCTTCCGTTTGACTGGTTGTACAAAGCCTCACACAGTCTTCGCTCATGACTTTGGCTTACTGGGAAGTTCTCTGCTGATACCCAACGTTTTTATTAACCTCCTCTGGCTGTGGAGATTGCCACCAGGCCCTTTTGGTACTATGTGTCTTTTCGTAGCTCGAATAAACATCATATGCACGTGACGACTTTGGCTTACTGGGAAGTTACCTTTGTCTTGATTTTAATTCAGGAGGGATACTTCATTCTGACCAAACATGTTGATTCCATCACCTTAGCTGAGTCGGTGTTTTTGTCAAATGTAGGAGTTCCCTTAACTTAGCAATTGTACAGCATATCATTTGTGCAGGATTATAAATGACATCGTCGAGCAGTGGTGTTATCTGTCCTAGTCGAACCCGAGCGCTTGAGTATGCAGGAGAAACATTTTCTTCTGTTCACAAGGTGTACTCTTTCATTAAAGTCCCTCTTAGTTAGAAGGAAGTCTGTAAAAGCCCCGTAACAAGTCTGCGCGTTAATTTAGGATTATTGTTATTCAATTGAGCGGAAAATCTGCCGACTATTTTGACAAGGAAGTTAAGCAGGAACGAAGGCTGACATTTGTCATTCCACAATTGGACAAAGATTCGACCAAGACCCGAATCAAAATTAGCCGACCGATGATTAGATACTCCCAAAACTGTATCTCTAAATACTCCTTATCCAGACAACCAAATAAGAATGTTCAGCGATTTGGTGTCCAGGCTTGTCTGCACCTGGACAGAAAAAAAATCACAAAAAAATACTAAAAACATTCAAAAAATTCTAAAATTTTCCCATGGTAGAAAATTTATCGTGTGAGGTTCGCTCCAAATTCTAGCTCATTTGGACATCTGAGTAGCTGT